CCTCACGGTTGCTTTGGCCGAGAACTGGAGTCTTCACTAAATAAATGGATGTGAACAATGCCTTCTTTCACGATGATTTGGAGGAAGAGGTCTACACGCGACTTCCTCCAGATACAATTCTTCATCCTCACATTTAGGATGCAGACTTCGCAATTCTTTTTGTGGTTTGCAGCAAGTCTCACATAATTGGTTTGCTAGATTTGCCTCGACGCTCCGTACTTATGGCTTTCAACAGTCAGAGGCTGACTGTTCACTGTTCACTGTTCACTGTTCACTTTCCATTCGGGTGCTCATATCTTAGTGATCCTAGTTTATGTTGATGATCACATATTGCTTGTAATAATTCAGTTCATTGTATCTTGCTAGTAGTTTTAAGATCAAGGATTTGGGAGCACTTAAGTACCTTTTGGGCATCGAGATCGTCCGCACCAGCGAGGGCATGGTGCTTTCCCAGTGCATACTTGTGTTGGATATCTTATCTAATTGCGGCCTCACAGCCACAGAGCCAGCAACTTTCCCCATGGAACAAAAGGCTCGACTTGCGGATTCCATCGCTCCCTTGCTCACGGACCCGACGCGATTTCATCGACTAATCGGTCACCTTCTCTATCTGACCGTCACACATCCTGAGTTGTGCTACTCAATCCATTTACTCGCATAATTCATGCAACAGTTAAGGGAGAGCCATCCGGATGCCGCATTACGCATTGTTCGGGCCAAGGCATTCTACTCCGACAACCGACTTCATTGGAGTTAATTTGCTATTGCGACTCTGACTGACCAGTTGTCCCCTCATGCGGCGTTCCACTGCAAGTTTCTTCATCACCTTTGGCAGTTCTCCGGTTTCTTTGCGCCTAAGAAGCAAACAACCGTTTCTCGCTTGTCCGCTAAAGCAGAATATCGTTCAATGGCAATCACCACAAGCGAACTTATATGGCTTCGCAGTTTGCTTTCTGCTCTCGTTGTCACACATTCTAGTCCCATTCGCCTGCTCTGCGACAATCCATCGGCCCTTCATATAACCCAGTTTACCACGAGCGCACAAAACACATCAAGATTTACTGTCACTTTGTTTGGGAGCACATTCAATCTAGTGAACTAGTTGTTGAGTACGTCCGCACTCGCCTTCAGCTTGCTTGCTGACATCTTCACTCAAAGCGGGATCACTTTCGTTTTCTACTCCGCAAGTTAGGTATTTGTGATCTTCATGCTCCAACTTGAAAGTGAGCATTCGGGATATCATTCGAGATTTATGGGATCCTCTCCGATAAGATCAAATCTTAGAAATTTATGGTCTTCTTGTCTATTAAGTTAGTGTTATATTAGGTAATTTCTTAAGGAAGAAGATACTCTTGTGTTATATGTATCCATACTTGACCTAATAAATCAAATTTTGCACGATTCTCTCGTATCCATACTCTTGTGTTATATGTATCCATGAACTCCTCACTTCCGGTAGGGCCCCTAACGATTCTTGTTACATATTTGTGGGTTGGAATACTATATCTATTAGCCAATGTCCTAATCTAGCCCATGTTATTCGTAATCTGCCGTGCAGATGATTTTGGATGGGACGCTCGTATGAAAGTGGCTATGGATTTTGGCCGCCTCTTGAAATTATCTCATGAAAATCTGATCATTTATGGGAGTATTGATGTCAAGGACATAATCATCGGTCAGGTTCACACTCAAATTTCATTAGCGATTATCTTATTACTTAGATGCATTTTTCCGTCCATTTTCAAAAGGTTTTTCAATTACTGTTGTTGTTGAGTGAGTTGCTGAATTTGTAGCAGGACTCGAATGTGAAGTTCTTTGATTTTAGTTTCCATAAACGTGTCAAAAACAAGGATGAGAAGATCGAGGCTCAAGGCTTCTATAAAGATCTTGGATATTACGCTCCGGAGGATTACAAATATCCAGGTATAATGTCTTATTGATGTACATATCCTGTGTTGTGTTGGTTCTCATACATCTGTTTATTAACAGTTGATGACACTTGTAGTTGCAATCAGCTTTGTAAGTTCATTCTTTACAATTTGAACATGAACCCTTACATTTATTTTGTATCTCGATTTTTTGGTTGAAGCCTCATTTTTCATATTGTGCAGTAGGAATGTGGTCAATGAAATCAGATGTGTGTGCATGCATATGGCATTCTACTCGTGAATCTGGTCTGTAAGAAACAAGGGGCTACATGGTTCTGGAAATTAATAGGTGGTGGAAATGTGCCAGTGGTGAGTGATAGTTTTAAGATGGATGAGCATACTATATCTGGAATCATCGGTTTGGCTATGTTGTGTGTGAACAAGGACCCGACCTGTCGACCTGATATGGGGACAGTGGTTAAGAATTTGGAAGATCTGATTGCTAATCGCCCAATAGTGCTCGTCATGGACTGATTGAGTTGGATGTAGCTAGAACACTAGTTTGCAGCAGTTAGCTGGTAGCAAGGGGGCTAATCAGTATTTGAAATATCATTTTAAATATAATTGATTTTCGCGGGTTTTTATTTTATGGATTCTGTATGGAAGTTCAATGCTATATTAATATGTCCAAAATGATGTTGGTGAATGGACCCAATCTACTTGCATTGTGGAAGTTCACTTGCATCATTCATTATCGCACCGCACGAACTACTTATTCATTAAAATCTAAATCAACTGGATTGGTCATTTATTAAAAAATAACAATAATAAATAACTATAATCTGTCATAATATTCAATCCCACAATACATCATATATATCATCAGGATTGGGCACATTGAGCGGGCTTAAAGGACAGAGTCCTTGCCTCCAGATCATACCCCACCAAGAAGTTCCCCTGCGCAATGTTACCATAAATAGCACCACCCTCAAAGGGCAGAACCGCCAGGCACACCGATTCATCGCTCGTCCGGACCAACAAATTGTCTTGCCCCCACTTCACGTCCGCCCCTCTAAAATGAACCACCACATCTGGAATCCGCACGTCGTCTTGGCGGCTGAAAAAACACAGGTCCAGCACCCCCTTTGGGTCCTTGATCTCCCTCAGATTGACCGACCTCTTCACCGCCTCCCTCAGCCTCCCGTACAACCCTGGCGGGAGCAGCGTCACTGTAGTCCCCGAGTCCACGATGATGTTCCCTTCCTGGACCGGGCCCGGCCCGTCGTTGAACCCCAGCCTCTGGTTCCCAACGCTTATCCCGTCCAGCGTCGCATAGTAGAACGTCTGTGGCTTCTTCCGGGCCAGAGGGGTCGACACCGTCCCTGGGCCCACAACCACGGCCCTGTCCCCGAAGTGCAGCCTGCTCGTGTTCGACTTGTCGGACAGCGTGAGCAGGCAGTATGAGAACTTCCCCCCAGCGAGCGGACCCAGCTGCCGGACGAGGGAGAGCGGCCCGCCGCCAAGCCCGACTATGCCCGACTCCCCGCCGTCAAAAAATTTGACGTTGTTCTTGAACCCGCACCCAAAGACTACGTTCGGGACAGAAAAGACAGTTTTGCCCCCGCCAAGCCCGAAAGTGTCCGTGGACAGCTCGCCCCGAGAGTACGACCCGTCCACGTAATCCTCGGAGTAGGCGCAGGTCCCGCGGCTCGGGCTGCAGCTGCTACCCGGGAAGGAGGTGCACGCTGGGGTCTTGCAGAGGACCTTTTTGTAAGTGGAGGAGGCTTTTGGGGTGAAGACGGGGAGGGCTTGCTTGAAGCAACTAAGGCAGGGTTGGCATTGGGTCCATATGAGGTTGCTGCCAGTGTCGGCTATGCCAAGGGACGGGACGGGCGGCGTGCCGAGGGAATATTTGAGCAAGTATTCACCGGCAGCATCGACGAGGTCGGAATCGGGAAGGGACGATGCGAGGATATTTCGGGAATTGAAATGCTGGTGGCGTTTGAGAGACCTGAGGAAGGAGTTGGCGAGGCGCTGAGAATCGGAGAGTGAGGGGTCGTAGGACGGAGATTGAGGCGAGTCTCTGTGGATTAGGTCCAGGGTTAGACCGGCAGCATGGGTAGTGCTTGTGGCTTGTGGTGAGCGATCACATGTAGTGAGGGGAACGAAGGAAATTATAATTAGTGCGAATATTGT